CGGGGCCTTGGTGTTATCAGCACCGCACTCTACCGAGTGAGCCACGGGCCGGCCCCAACATACCCTTTCATACAGATGGTTTGAGTTGATCTTATTTGATCTTACAACAACCATATAACATATATAGGACACGTATTTCTTCCCTGGTTTTTATACATGCAGAAACTAAGACCCACTGAGATTGTGACTTACCCACTTGACTCTTAGTCCAGTGCGCTTTTCTTTTTTCTCATAGAGAAATTGTATTTTTTTCTTTATTTATAATTTTAACTTTCGTGCTATTAAAAAGAATTTAAATTTTTTATCACAATGACAAATGCTTAGGGAAGCTAAAAGTGATTTATGGATATACTAAAAGTTTGTGGTTTTATCAGTTAACTTAAGGAATCTTAGCTGTGTCCTATTAAACCATAGAAAGTAATGCCATGTGCCCTGCCAATATTTTTATCATTAATATTCCTTATAAATATAGTGTTTTTTCAGTACACCAATGAGGCAATGTGGTTTTCAATTTTAACACTGATGTTTTTTTTCTAGTGCAAATCCAGCCTACCATGAGTTACTGTTAACTGTTTTGTGGTATGGTGTTGTCCATACTTCAGCACTTGTGAGGTGTACTGCTGCTAGAATGTTTGAGGTATGTCAACAAATGCTTCTATTGGTTCCAATTATAATGATTTTTTTTGGAAGAGAGAGAAGGGAATTTTTTTTTAAAGGTTTTGCATACCATGTTATGTTGATATATATTTTATGGCATTGAACGGTATCTGGTTGTGTACTGTGTGATGGGGCAGAAATTTAGCTTTGACATATTTAAGAATGTTTTTTAGCACTACTGGTTCTTTGAATGTTACACTATAAACAGTTCCATTTCTGAAAGTCTCTTAAATTTGTTTTTAATTTTCATCCTATATAAACCTTTTTGACTATACTTTTCTGTTTACTGAGGTGAATGACTACTAAAACAAACTAAAACACTATAGGGTATCTTTCAAGTTGTAACATATAGTTGGATTCATCAGTAGCATTTAAAAAATCAATTATTGCAATTATGGAAATATTTATCTTATTGATTACTTCTACTTCACTATTCCCTTCACATGTCACATCTGGAATAACATCCCTATGTTAACTGCTCATAGACTTATATGAGAGACTTATACTGTTCATATAATTTACCTAGATTTTATTAAATTGATAACCACATTAAGTATGAAAATTGAAATACCTATCTTTTGTACCCATCATATAGCAAATTATATCATAGCCCTAGTATGTTGTTATATATACATGCAATTACAACTTTGAGCACTAAAATTGGTTTAATGTTTCTTGCTGATTCTGAGTCTTGCCAAAGAGCCAAGCTGCCTGGGTTCAGTTTCCATCTCTGCCACCTAGTGACTTTGTAAATTACTTAGGCAAGTTTGAAATTCTCTGTGCCTTAGTTTTCTCATCTACAAAATTAAAATGATGGTAAACAGTATCCATCTCAAAGGATTTTTGTTAATGTGAAATGAATTAATGTTTATAAAACCCTTACAACAGTGTCTGGAACATAATAAGAGCTTATAATAAATGTCAACTGCCATTATCATTGTTGTTCTTTACATGTGTGCTATTACTTCACAAGATAATAAAATAGTATACGTAATATGTATTTATCCAAATTAAAATTGTCCATAATATGCATGTGACTGTTAAAAATATCTTAAAACATTTATTTCCATAAGAAGAATTGGGTAATTCATATCTTCCTGAATTTTAGAATTTCTCCACAATTTAAGATAAATTGCAATTGGAAGGATAGAGCACTGATATATTTAAAATATATGCCGTCTGAAATTTTTAAATATATAAATTAGATTCATGGAATATAAAGAAAATTCCTTTGTTATCAGGAAGTTGAAAATCTTCTGTCCATGTTATTTCCTTGGTTATAATATATATGATCAAAAAACTATAATCACAGTCTCTTTGTCAAAGTGAATGCCAAAGTAACAGTTTGGTTTTATGTCTGGTATAAGTTCTTTCTGCGTATAAATAACTTTGATAACTTAATATGCTGATAAAGGGGCATTACCATGAAAGAAAAGTCTTCAGTTCTTTTCTCCTCGCAAGATGAAAAAGCATCCTTTTGTTTTTGTTTTGTTTCATTTTGTTTTGTTTTGTTTTTTTAGAAAAACCACCCTTTAAAATGAAGGACTGTTTCTTTAATATATTCCTTTCATAGGATTTTATTCTAAGACCATAAAAGCTACTTCTTTCTCTTAAACCCTTTGTTTCTAAAATATATGTATGCACTGTTAAAGCATACCATATAAATTAAAATAATTTAAATAAATAAAATGAAGCATTCTCCCTTTTTATTTGTTTTGGCTTTTCGTTTGTTTTGTTTTTTGGCTTTATTTTATTTTATTTTTTTATTTTATTTTTTTATTTTTTAAAGATGACCAGTAAGGGGATCTCAACCCTTGGCTTGGTGTTGTCAGCACCACGCTCAGCCAGTGAGCAAACCGGCCATCCCTATATAGGATCCGAACCCATGGCCTTGGTGTTATTAGCACCGCACTCTACCGAGTGAGCCATGGGCCGGCCCCTGGCTTTATTTTTTATATGCAACTTTTGTCTGGTTTTGGTTTTTGTGTTTGCTGTCCGTGCTGGTCTGGAAATTATACCTGTGCATAGCACTTTACATGCTCTCTCAGACGGATTATGAACTTCTGAATCTAGTTTGAGAGACTATTTCAATATTTTTAAAAATTCATTTATGATAAAAAATTTCACAGAGCAGGTCAGTAAAACTTAGCAATAGGAGAAATTAAAGTTCCTGTTTTTGTCAATGACCCTTATTTTGAACAAAATTATATTAAAAGAACTAAATATGGTTTGTAAGATTTCTTTCAATACTAATGTTTTATAATTTAGAATTATGCCTGCTTCCCCAGAAAATTAGTTAATTAAAAATAAAAACATAAGAAACAGGACACTTAAATTTTTTTTTTTAAAGTAAGACCAAAAAGTATTGAGACGAAACTGGGAAATGGATATATGAGGAAACTAATATAAGATACTTAGTGAAATTGAACACTAAATTTAGCTTAATTTTCAGATGGCAGGACAAAAAGGGGAAATCCGGTCGATTATATTGTTCTCTTTGTTAAGTAAGAAGCCATGTATTACTTTTTGAACTAGCAAATTAATGAAATTATTTTATAAGGGGAATTTAACATGTGACTCCTAGTGTGACATATTTCCCAGAAGATGCAGAAAACAGCTTCATATAACTATTTCTTAAATGAATCATAAGGAAATTGAGCTTGTAACATGAGACCACAACTCAAAGAAGGCATGGACGTTAAGTCAGAGGAGACCAAGTCCATTTTCTAGCTTCACTACTTATTCACTTTGACTTCTCTAAGCATAAGTTTCTTCATCTGCTAAAATATTGATACCATTTGTATTTACCACATCAGGAATAAAGATCAAATGATATATTGTATATAAAGTGTGTAATAATTGGTAGCTCTTCAGTTTACTTTCTGTTTTTCTAGTTTAATAAACAAGTTGAACTTAAAAACCCCTGAGCAATGAAAAATTAATGTCCCATAG